AACCAAATAAGATCAATAAAGCAGGAAAGGGCTTTAAAGAGAGTAAAGTAGAGGTGCAAGGGAGTAATAATAGTGACCATGCTATCTAGTCTGTGTGAGTAAGGACACCAGGAGGACCTGGAATACTGAAAAAGCAGTAGGTACAATGGCTTGTAGGTCCCAGTGAAATCAAAGGATTTTGGATTAAGAATATTAGACAGACTGAGTGGGAAAGATAGGAGGTGGTGGCCAGAGAATAGAATTGTTGAAATTCAAATTATGAAACAGCTACTAATCATGACAAGGACTAGAGGATATCACCTTATCAATTAGTGGTGGAGGTAGAATAAAAAACAAGATCACTGAAGGAAAAAAAATCAGTGAACTAAAATACTAGATTATTTGGAAAGCTCTTCTACATAGATATCGTAATCATCAAGAACTGTGACAACAGTAGTGTGAGATAAGTAGAATATATTATAATATAGGCTACTATTATAGTTGCCCAACTTCCATTGATTCTTCCTTCTTTACTAACAGGACCTCAATTTTGTTAGGGATGGCAATACACACAGCTAATAATAACAACAATAATAAATTTCCCAGCCCCATTTACCAATAAGGGTAATCATGTGTCCTAATCAGGCCAATGAGACAAAAAGAAATTGTTGAGTAGCTCTTCTAGAAGGATCTTCAGAAGAAGGACAAAAATGTCACTTAAGATTAGGATGTAAAAAGATATGAGAGGCCTTCACCAAAGTGTTTACATCACAAAATAAAATAATGTTCATGCTTTTCCATGAGGATACTGAAAAGGAAAGGATACAAGGAAGACTGGATGAGTTGAATTCCAAGGAAGAACAAGCACTTCATAGGATGAACAAAGGCCATATCCACACCTAAAGGGCCATACGGTTGAGGGAAGTGGGCACTTGGAAGTGGGTGTAGTCTAAAAGCAGACCTGTCATTGACAAACAAAATTTGGAGGGATGAAGAAAACCCAGCTGAGCCTTTGACAGTCATTTTGCCTGGCAGATCGACTAGAATAAGGGAGAGCTCCGAAGATAAAAGTAAATCACTCAACCCTACCATTTTTCTCCCACCAAACCCCTCTGACCTGAATTTTGCCGAGAAGGTAAAAGAAAAGGAGGTCTGCATACCCACAGGAATGGCCAAAATTTAAAGACTGACAAATACCAAGTTTTGGTAAGGATGTGAGGCCACTGAAACTCTCATACACAGCTGGTAGAAACACAAAATGGTAGTGCCATGTTGGAAAACGGTTTGGTAGTTGCTCATAAAGCTTAACATATACTTGCAATATAACCCACCAATTCCACTCATAAGAAATTATCTGAGATTAATTAACACATATGTCCTCACAAAGACTTGCATACAAATGTTCATAAAATCTTCATTCATAACAGCCAAAATAGCTACTGAATCCAACAATACAAATATTTACTAACTGGTGAATGGATAAACAAATTGGCAGTATTGCATATAATGGAATATTCTTCACAAGAAAAGGAACAAAATACTTACACATAGAACAACATGGATGAATCTCAAAAGCATTATAAGGGAAAAAGCTAAATAAATAAGGCTACTTACTGTATGATTTAATTTATATGAAATTCTAGAAAATGGAAAACTATAGTAAAGGACCAGTGGCTGTCTGGATCCAAGGTAGGAGGAAAGAACTGACTGCAATGGAATACAGTGGAGCTTTTGGGGATAATGGAAAAGTTTCATATTTTGATTGTGATGGTGATTACACAGCTAAAGGAAAGGAGGGGCTAGAAAGCAGAGAAAGCTTACCCTGCATGTCCCTGTGGCGACTGTATTTTGAATCCCTGCCAGGATTGAAGCAAAATGTGAATCAAAACTACTTAAAATTGAAATCCAGACTCCTGCCAGCTCAAATACTGACATGATCAAAAAAATCAGCCCTTCAGGGAAAATAACAATAGGCGAGATTGTGAATTAGACAAATCAGATGAGAATTCAACCTAATTAAAGGTTAACTGTGGACCTCAACTCAATTCTTAGAGGAATGTGAATGCTTATCCCCTTGTCCTAAATGCCAGACAAAGGAAAGAGCAACCATTCTCTAGGAAACAAAAGAAAACAAAATATTATACCTCATTTTCCAATGTTCTTTTATATACAATGCTTGGAATCCTGTAAGAAAAATTACAAAACATATGAAGAACCAGGAAAATACGATCCATAGGCAAAAGAAAAAACAGTCAGTAAAGCAAACAATGATGACCCCAATATTGGAATTAGCACACAAGGAATTTTTTTTAATCTATTATTAAGATACAAGAATTTTCAGGAAGAGAGAATAAGAGATGGATAATAGAAGGAGAGATACAAAAATCTCTAAAAAGGAACCAAAAGGTAATCCTAAATATAAAAATTATAATATTTGAAACAAAAAAATTATCAGAGTTTAACAGCATATCAGACACTACAGAACACACTGGTGAACTTGAAGATAAGGTAGTATATATTGTCCAAACTAAAGCACAAAAAGAGAAAACGCTGAAATAAATGAACAGAGTATGAATAACTTCTTACATACTATCAAGCAGTGTAATATATGTGTAATTAGAATCCCATAAAAGGGCAGAGGGGAAGCAGTAAAATATCTGAAGAAATAATGAATTTTCCAAATTTAGTGAAAACCATCAAACTACAGACTCAACTTAGTGGACCCCAAGCAGAACAAATATACAGAAAACCTCACCTAAACATGTCTTCTCAAACTGCTAAAAATGAAAGAGAAAATCTTTAAAAGTAGCCAGAGGAAAAAAAGGAAACAATGATATAACAACAACAGCACAAAAAATAAGTGGGTGTTAATAAAATTATATTGCTATACAGTTGTCATATTAGAAACAAAGTGGTATAATATTAATTCAAGAAAAATTTTGATAAGTTGAAGATATATATTGAATCCCTATAGCAAACACAAAAAAAAGACATAGGTCAAAAGCCAAAAAAGGAAATAAAATGAAATACTAAAAAAGACACATAATTAACCCAAAATAAGACAGAAAAGAAAGAACAAAGGAACAAAGACTGTATGGGACCAAAAAAGAGCAAACAGCCAGAGAGTAAACTTAATTTAAATTAGTTTATTAACATTTTATTATAATCATTATATGAAATGACATGTAATTGTATTAATTAATTGTAAGTGAACTAAATATACCAATTAAAAGACAGAGATTATCAAGGCTGGATAAAAAAGACTCAACTCTATTGTTTCAAAGAGATACACAATAAATATACAGTTATAAATAGTTTGAAATTAAAACTTTGAAGATATAACATGCAATGATTAATCATAAGAAAGCCAGTATCAGACAAAATATGCTTTAGAACATAGATTGTATCGAAAATAAAAAATTATTTTGGACTTCCAGTTCTGGCCATGATGGACCAACCCCATTCCTCCAATCCTCCCTTCTACAACTAAAATACCCTAGACTCAACACAACAAGCACAGGAAGATTCTGCAAAGTGGAAAGAAGGATGCAGGAATCTCAGCTCTTGATGAACACATGTCAGTGAGATTCCTGGGTTTTCTTTTTACCTACATATACTGGATGGGGCACTGGAAAAGTCTACAACCTGCAACTGCCAAGAAGCACAAACGAAAAAAGCCCTAAGAAAAGCCAAAGGACTGTGAAAAGGGGTCTCTAGCATAACATATAACTTTTTGGCAATACCTATCCTACTTGAGCAAAATACCAAGAAAAATTCTGAACCACCACCTCATACACATCATCGGTGCTCAAGAATAATGTGGGCAACGAAAGTTGCCACACCACCTCTCCCACCAGGGTGGTATCAGCAGTGCTAAATGAGAGCAAATTTCCATCACCTACCTAGCAGTAATAAGTGGCATTTCGATGCCCCCACCAGGGTGATATTAGTGGTGCCAAGTAGGGAACTGTACTTCTACCCTTGTCTGAAAGTAGCCATCAGAATGAGGCAAGGATATTTGCTCCCACCACTGTTACTCAATGAACAGTGGAAACCACTGCCTGCCAGCACAGTAAATCAAGAGAAGGAAATAAAAAACATTCAGATTGGATAGGAAGAAATAAAACTGTCCCTATTTAAAGATGACATGATTGTCTATGTAGAAAATCCCAAGGAATCTACAGAAAAACCCCTAAAATGAAAAAAAATACATTGAACAAAGTTGGAAGATGTAAGATCAACATACAAAAATCATTCATGTTTCTCTACCAGTAAGAAATGTGCGGAAGTTGAAATTTAAAGCATAATGCAATTAACAATCACTCCAAAATAACATGAAATACCCATGTATATGTCTATCAAATCATGTGTAGGATCTATATAATGAAAATTTGTTAATGCTAATGAAAGCAATCAAACAAGACCTAAACAAATGGAGAGACATATCACGTTCATTAATTATGACTCAGCATAGGTGTTTCACTACATGCAGCCAAACTCAACCCCTCACTAATACAACTAAATTATACAATAAAAGAACAGCATTCTGTGTGTAAAGCATATTGAAGTACGGTTGAATATTAATACACAAAATAACTCAACAGATTGAAGAAGAACCATATAATTACCTCAATGGTGGCATTACTTCAATATACACAATAAATACATTTGTTAACCCCATTTATTCTTTTGGGTTTTTTTTTATTTAGTAAGCTACAAATGGAAGAGTACTTTCTTGACGTGATATAGAATATAAATCTCAAACCAATAGATAAGCCCATGCTTAAAAATTAAACAGAAGAAGCATTATTAAAAGCAGTCCCAAGATACAGATATGCCTTAATTAAACTTTAAGAGAAGTATTAGCAGAAGATGGAAAAATCAGTACACTACTTTAAAGTTTCCTAGGAAGATCATTTTCATGGACGGGGAATTTATTCTGAGAACATGTATGGATTCCAAAAGAAAATCTTGTCCCTTTTCAGTGATAATGTTTCTACATTAGGGTTACCTATACTTACAGATAAAGATAATTCTTCCTGTTCAGGCTCCACAAACTGTTTTTGTGCATTTTCAATGTTAAATCCATGGGTTTCTTCCAAACTAGAAACAACCTATTAAAAACATCAAAGCAAATTAAATACTTTCATAGTTTAAAACTAATTTTATGGAACATAAAAGATATTAAAGCAACCATGTCAGGAGCTTTTTAGCAGCAAGACTAATTTCTGCCAGTGCCATAAACTTCAATTTTCCATCCCATACCCCATCTCATAGCATTATGAGGAAAAGGCAGTAGTCCTTTACCCTACTCCTTAGCAATGGAGAGATTCTCTATGACTTTACGACTTCTGTGTTGATAGGTATCTAAAAGGGAGAGGATCTGTCCATGAATGGTTGAAGCATTAAGTACAGGTTTCTTCAAAGTCTGACTGCCTTGACTTTTTCCTCTGAAGAGAATAAGGAAAATAGAAAGATGGAGATCAGAAAGAAATCAATCTTTAAAAGAAATTCTCTGACCTAACCCCTCAAACTTTGAACAAACTTGTATTTTGGAAGTTTGACAAACTATATATTCTTTTTATATTTGTGTTCTTCCTCACTGTTCTCACTTGATGTTTGGTACATTTACAAACAATTCAATTCTGGATCACTGTGCAAAAAGAAACCAAGAAAGAGGATTTTTTTTTCCACACTAACAGCTAAAGTTTCTGCAGCACAGAGAAGAGTTAAGAGCAGGCATAAGACTTAGAGTGGCCTATCCTTATAAAGGCCTGCTTGCATGGTTGGCCTTAACCTTGCATCTGAGAACTTAGATTTTGGGAGGGTTCCTACTAATAAGAGCGGCTCACTGTCCCTAAACTGTTTGTAAAAACCATGTGGTTTACACTGAACACCTGCTTTTCTTGTGGGACTTGGGAATTTTGGAACAGGTTAGGCAGAGGTGCCTAGGAGACCAGCTCCCCAGTAAAAACCCTGAGTGCTCAGGAATTTTCCCTGGTAGACATGTCACATGTGCTGCCACAATTCATTGCTAAAGGAATTAAGTATATTCTGTGTTACACTAAAGGGAGAAGACGCTTGAAAGCTTAGACCTGATTTCCTCCAGATTCCACCTCGTGTACCTGCTATAATAAATCTCAGTCATCAGTATGACTATATGCTGAATCCTGCAAGTCCTCCTAACAAGTCACCAAACCTGCAGATGCCCATAGGGATCCCCCAACACAGAGACCAATAAGTGTCTTACCATCTTCAGATGTCTGATAATTTTCCTGATCGTTTCATCTTCTGCTATTAAGTCCTTTGTCCTACTCGATGGAATAGGCAAAGCATACTGTACAACAGATTCTCCCATCGGTGGAGATCTTAGGACCATTGGTTCAATTTTATCATGTACTAATTTTGGACTGAGTTTTTTCTTTGGCACAGGCAACATTGGCAAGTTAAGTAGTTCTTTTTTATTAGTTAATTCTGGAACACTTGCCAACTTCTTAGTAGTGGTCAACCGATGCTTTGCTGACTTCATTTTGTTATTAACTTAGCTTCCAAACTATAGATGAAAAAATGTTCTTCCTCCCTGTAAATAAAACATTAAGAGATTCAGAGAAAATATCACACCATTAAACAACAAAAATAAGTTTATTCTAATTAAATTCATATATTACATTTCTGTTTGTGTTGTTCTCATGCTATAGCAATTTGCTCAGAGTACATCGAGCAACATCTTGAAGCTACAATTACACTTTGGGCTCCTTTGATTTACAATTATTTAAACAAAACAAAGAAAAATAGAATGCGGTTATCACAGTATCTGATTTACATCAAGTAGTTACTTAAGCCTAAGAATAATAACAATAATAGTAAAAGGTCAATGATTTTAAGCTAATATATGTCCTTTATATATATTATTATTCTCATTTTACATGTGAGTAAACTGAGTTCAGAGAAGCCAAGAGTTACAAAGCAAATAAACGTTAAAGTTGGAATTTCAACATACGTCAATTGGCAACAAATATAGCTTTTTTTCTAAACCATTTTCTCTCCATATGGAAAATGTTGGCTTTTTTTAAATTCTAAAATGTGTATAGAACCACAAAAGACCCCAAATAGCCAAAGCAATCTTGAGCAAAAAGAACAAAGCTGGAGACATCATATGACCAGACTTTAATACTACAAAGCTGTCATAACCAAAACGGCATAGTACTGGCATAAAAACAGAAACATAAACCAACAGAATACAGTAGTGAACCCAGAAATTGATCCATATATCTACATCCAACTTATTTTTAACAAAGGTTCCAAGAACATACACTAGGGAAAGGACAGTCTTTTCAATATATGGAGCTGGGGAAACCTGGCATCTATATACAGAAGAATGAAACTAGACTCCTACCTCTTATCCTATACAAAAATCAACTCAAAGTGTACAAAAGACCTAAATATAAGACCTGAAAACGTACAACTACTAGAAGAAAACATAGGGGAAATGCTTCAGGACATTAGTCTGGCTAAGGATTTTATGGATAAGACCTCAAAATCAAAAATAAACAAGTGGGATTATATCAATCTAAAAAGCTTCTACACAGCAAAGGAAACAATCAACAGAATAAAAAGACAACCTACAGAACTGGAGAAAATATTTGCAAACTATTCATCTGACAGGGGATTAATATCCAGAATATATGAGGAACTTAAACATCTCAACAGCAAAAAAACAAACAATACAATTTTTAAAATGGGCAAATGATCTGAACAAACATTTCTCAAAAGAAGACATACAAATACCCAACAATATATGAAAAAATGCTCAACATCACTAATCATCAGGGAAATGCAAATCAAAACCACAATGAGGGTATCATCTCCCCCTAGTTAGGATGGCTGTTATCACAAAGACAAAAAATAACAAATGCTGGTAAGGATGCAGAAAAAAGGGAACTCATACATTGTTGGTGGGAATTCAAGCTAGTACAGGCACTGTGGAGAACAGTGTGGAAATTGCTAAAAAACTAAAATTAGAACTACCACAATCCACTACAGGACATTTATCCAAAGGAAAGGAAATCAGTATATCAAAGAGACATAACACTATTCACAATAGCGAAGATATGGAATCAAACTAGGTGTCCAACAACAGATGAATGGATTAAAAAAAATGCGGCATAAAGAGAATGGAATACTATTCAGCCACAGAAAGGGTGAGATCCTGTCATTTGCAGCAACACGGATGGAACTGGAGGACAGTGTGTTAAGCGAAATAAGCCAGGAACAGAAAGTTAAACACCACATGTTCTCACTCATGCGTGGAAGCTTAAAAAAAGTTGATTTTATAGAAGTAAAACATAGAACAGAGGGTACTAGAGGGTGGGAAGGGAAGAGGAAGGGGATAGGGAGAGATTTTTTAAAGTATTAGAGAGGATTCTAATTCAATAACTATGTCCTTATATGAAGAAAAAGCAGGCAAGGTGTGGTGGCTCATGCCTGTAATCCCAGGACTTTGGGAGGCTGAGCCTGAAGGATCCCTGAGGCCAGGAAATCGAGACCAGCCTGAGCAACATGACAAGACCCCCTTTTTTACAAAAAAAAAGTTTAAAAATAGTCGGTTGCGGTGGTGTGTGCCTGTAGTCCCAGCTACTCAGGAGGCTGAGGCAGGAGGATCACTTGAGCTCGGTTCAAGCCAGCAGTGAGCTATTCAGTCCACTGCCTTCCAGCCTGAGCAACAGAGTGAGATCCTGAAGGAAAGGAAAGGGAAGGCGAAGGGGAAGAAGAGAAAAGAAGAGAACAGGAGAGAAGAGGAGAGAAAAAACAGAGACACAGACACACATAGGAGAGAATGGGATGTGAAGACAGAAGCAGAGACTGGAGTGATGAGTCTACAAAACAAAGGATGCCAAGGATTGCCAGAAGCTGGGAGAGAAGCATGGAGCAGCAGCTCCCTAAGAGCCTCCAGTGGGAACTAACCCTGCCAACACCTTCATTTTGAACTTCCAGCCTCCAGAAATATGAGAGAATAAATTTCTGTTTTAAGCCACCAAGTTTACCAGGAGGAAACATATACATGCTGATGGAAATGATCCAATGTGAAAAGAAAAATGTGTGACTGGTAGAGAAGAAACTGTTGGGATACCCTTGCGTAAACAAGAAGGAAGGGGTTTTTTTTGTTTGTTTGTTTGTTTTTTGGAGCATGAAAATAATTTATTGATTAGACATCTGGTTTATTCAAGCATTAGGCCTACTGATGATAGAAATTAACACAGCTCATGGAATAGGAAAAAAATTCCATCCAGCACCTGCTTCATTTCAAAATCCTGGGGACATGGTTTATGGATTCTGTACTAGAGTCTCACCCTAAAGTGTCCCCATGTGCTTGATGTGGATGAACTTGAACATATGAGAAACTCTGTGTATACTCAACTTGGCAAGTATCATTAGTGATGTGACTTTCAGAAACATTCTTAGGCACAAGAAATAGCACTGCCTACCGTGAGGGTCTTTGATAATAATAATAAAAAAAAAGAATTCCATTAAATATAATCTTATGAAAAAGAAAGAAAATATATGCATTTTTGCCAATGGATTGATTGTTTTACATATCAGGGAAAATGTCACAATGAGATTTTCTAACAGAGATTAAAAGATTAACTTTTAATTGATAATCAACTTTTAATTGACACTCAGGTGGTTTTGTGGTACTAAAAATCAGAGAAAAACAAAACCAATTTAGCTTAAATGGAATTTAGGGAAGAAATGCAGGACTATTAATATGGAATAATAGCTGCACTTCTTTGGCTAAGTCATTAAAAAAATGCCA